CTGTGGAAACAACACTGTTTTGCCTTGTAAAGAAATAAAATAAAATAAAATAAATAAAATAAAATCGATCGCCACGCTCTGATCGAAGCAGCGCAGCCTGCTGTCTCCCTTCTGTCTCTGCGCTCCGTCAGCCACAGCAGCGGCCGCTCAAAGCAGGTCACCCAATACCCACCAGGTTATTTCGGACGTCCATAGCCGTTATCGACAGGGAAGGGGGGAGCAGGGGGCAAGATCTGAACACGATCATTTGCGATGATCTCAATTGCTTTTTTTTTTTTTTTCCCCCCAAGCGTTGGCAGCGCTCTCTTCTGGAGCTGCTGCACAGCGTTGCTCTAACGCTACGGAGCTGCCCCTGCCCGTTCTCGGGTACCACTTACCTATCCTGGAGGGACACCAGAGGGACCGATTAAGGGCCGGGAGTCGCACCGTTCTGGGAGTCCAGGGGAAGCGTGCAAGCACGGCGTTTGCAGGACCGCTGAGCACGTAGCTTCTGCGCCTTTCCATCTGGCAAGAGCTCAGCAAGTCCCGCTCGCCAGCCGGAGACCACCAGACTGTGGCGAGCGCCGTGTCGGGCACTTCTGCGTTTTTTCTCCTTTCGTAGCTCAGTCCCCAACGCGTTTTCCTGCTGTCGTTTCTGCCATCTAGAGGGGAAGTTTCTGCATTGCAGACGTGTCCCTCAAAACCCAAGTGCCCAGTGTGGAAAACCGTGGTCCGTCGCTTGCCCCCACTCGTGACTGCAACAAGAGCGGGAGGCTGTGAATTTGAAACACCCTCAAGAAAGTCTCAGGGGAGCATTTAACTAAATGCCGGTCATTTAACTAAAACCTAGCACACTGCAAGGAGAAACTCAGGGCAACAGTAAGAAAGCAGGACTTCACTCTCTGTCTATGAAAGGTATATTCAAAACGTCCAGTTAGTGGCAAATGATCATCTACTGTTATTTTTCTAAACGGAAGTGTGGTACTAAAAGGCTTGGCCAAGGTCTGGTTCTGCCTACTGATGTCCACAGCCATGTGGAGGATGGAGTTTAGCGAGGGTGACCCGAACCGAGAGGAACTGCAAGTGTGCAGCTGGGTAAACTGGAGAGATGGAATGAGGAGTGGATAAAACCCAAGAGAAATGAGTATAAGGTACTACATGGCGCCAGTAAGACATGCTTTCAGTGAGAAAAGAGGGGCACTGTTTGGCAGTACACAGTCCGCTATTCAGGGTCTGCATGATGCAAGCTTGACCTGGGTTGAGTTTGGAGGGGGACAGGTGGAAGTGACCTTGTGCAGGATCCACCTCTGCAGGATTCGCCATTTCTAGATGATCACACAAACCCAAAGGGATTTATTTCTGACCTCGAGGCAGGAATTTTACACTTCATCCGAGCAGAAAAGGATGTTTGGAAAGAAAATACTCTCATATCCAATTTTTAGGTAGAGGACTACCTAAAAAAAAACTACCTGGATCTAAACTTCCATGGAACAGCAACTATATGTGAATTACAAGAATGCCGCCTGGCTGGCAGACAGGAGGGAAGCCTCAGGGTACTTGCCCCAAGAGAAAGGGTGGCAGATAGATCACAACTTGCGAGCTTCTCTTCTCAGCATTTTAAGCAAACCCACCAGTTCACCAGGACTACAGCTAGAGCAGCCGAGCTGCACTGACTTACCATCATGCAACAGCAACACAGAAAATAACCAAAGAGCCTGAGGATGGGAGACAACCAAAAATGCCTGGAGGAGCTGTAGCCAAACCTGCAAGAGGGAGCAAGAACCGGAGGGAGAATAAAAATGCCAACGCTGATGATATCCTGCCTTAATCTCTACCGCTCCAGTTTAGCGGGTGCAGGTTTAGCAGGAAATGGCATCACATCAATCTAAGTAGCTCCCCTTCTGCGAGTGGACTTAGCTGGGCACAACATGATTGTTCCTGCACAAACACTGCAGCAGGAAACGTGGGATCCTAAGCCACGCATCAGGGCCGCAGCAGTCCAGGCTGTCCAGCAGCTACAGGCAGGCGGCTTGTGTACAGCTTCGCAGGATAGCTCTGCCCTTTGGCGGCACATGCAGTGCAACTGCTTCCAAATCATCCACCTGAGATGCAAACCTGGGAAAGCGCACGCCGAGCACTTGGTCAACACAAACACAAGCGTGACCGGGTGTCATTTTCTTTTGTTTTAATAGAAATATTCTAGAATAACTTGGAAAGGGGATCAGGCTAAAGGGAATGTCTCTTGGAATAAAATACTGTGATGCGCCTCTGGAATGATGTGCAAAGTTAAAATGTCCAAGCAGGCTCAGCTCAGGACTTCCTGGATTCTTGGGCCTTCTTGATTTCCTGCAAGGAGATAAGGAAAACAACTGAGCACCCACCCCTCTCAGGGAACAATTCCTAGTTTCAGAGATCTGCAGACCAAGAATGATTATCCACAGCACAAACCAGAGTACCACAGCACCAAGCCCGGAGTTTATGCATGAGCACTTAGGAACACAGCTACGTTTGCCTTAGAGACACTTGAAAATAGCACAGTCCTCCAGCACTGTCCAGTGGCATGCGCTTATACTGCCCCTTATCCAGTATCGCACTGGATCTGTTTCCCACACTAAGGCATCTGATCCGTGATCACTCATACGTGATCACAGCTGGATCACCTGGCAGTTCAAATCGCATCTGAGTCAAGTGTAAGCAGGTAGTTGTATTTCTGCGGCTGCTTACAAACAGACCCTCACCTGCTTAGTCTAGTGGTCAGGCTTACACAGGGAATAAGGCAGAAACACCGTGAACGACTCACCTCCAGGAGCATCTCCTTCAATTCAGAATAGGCTTTTTCTAGATCATCATTAATAATGACCAAATCAAAGAGGCCAGGCTCTTTACCTAGGAAAGGAAAAGAGGACAGAGGAGTTAGGGGGGGAACATATTTCTTCCCTGTGTCCTCTCTCATGCAAGACTTGACTTCCCGTGGCATTTGAGTACTATTATTTCAGCTACTGCTAATGTGCTTCTCTGCCAAGCATCCAGTAGGAATTGCAACGGTAAACGATGCAGCATCACGCTTAGACCAAACCTTGCCAACGCCCAACCCCTGCCAGCACTCCTCGGAGAACACAAGTCAGATCTTCGTGTAGAAAACGACATCGAAACCACCAGCATACCCCCTCTCCCTCGCCACATCTCTCAAAGGCCACTGGACTTACTAAGTTCCAAATCTATGCAAGCTGCAGTCAAACGCTTCCGTAAACTTTCTTCTGTCTCAGTCTGCCGGTCCCGTAGTCTTTTTTCCTAAACGCAATGACAAATATATTAAAGAAACGTGCGTTTCAAATTCTGAGCGCAGAAGACACCAGCCACCCCCACAGCCAAAAAGCCACAGCCCTCTGCCCCCTGCCCAGGAGCTGTTTGCCAACACCAGACACAACGGCATGTGAAATGACACCTTGCAAAGGGCAAGGGGACGCATTCACAGCCACAGAGCAAATCAGTGTTCAAGCTGGGTTTGGGCTCAGGACATCAGGTTCCAGTAACTCTCTCCCCTGTATTCTTTTTTTTTTTTTTGGCTAATCAGCAGCCGGGACAAGTACCGCTGCAAAGTGAAATCTCTCTGCTGGGCTCTGGCATCAGCACACGCTGCTGGCTTCCTCCCCCGCAAACTCAATAAGAAACACAGATTGCCCGATCTGCTGACAGTAACAGGGGAGAGCCAGGCCCCGGCTGGGATCCAGGAGTCGTGGGCTCAGTCTCTGCTAGGTATTTCCCACATGGCTTCAGCAAGTCACATCTCCAGGACCATGTACACCCTGACAGGGATTTCACTGTTCCCAAAGGTGCTGTGTGCAGGTGATCGTTATTATACGGGACCACGTAAGACCAGATACAGGTTTCCCACTGCTGCAGAGAACCAGCCTCCCTAAGTTTAACTCCAATAGCTGGAGGTGGAAGCAAGTCTCACCACAAAACCTCCTTATCTTCACAAAGCATGACTAATGCTTTAGTAAAGCATTTTAAAGGCTGGCCATGCTCTAACAGAGCTTATACCCCGCACTCCAAAGTGGGGGAAGACACTGTACAGGAAGGATCCAAGAAACAGGGCACGAGAAGATGCACTACTGGGAGCCAAGGGCTGGAGACAGAGATTGGGCAGACACTGGGCAGAGGTAACAGCATGCTCAAAAATGAGCCTCCATCTATTCTGCGGCCCTTAAAAACATTAATACAGTAAACAACGAGGGAGGAACGCTCATTGCTTCAGACCAAGACGCCGATTACCTCTAACTGCCTAACAGCAAAGGAAGGCAGCCGCTCACCAAGACATCTATGGATGGAGGCTGCACGGAGATGTAGATGGGGTTCAGGTCTGTCCTCTTGATGCTCTTCACGCCTTGGATATCGACGTCAAGGACGCAGATCTGGTTCTGGGCCTGAATGGCCTGCACAGCACCTTTACTGGAGACAGGCAGAGAGGGAGCTGGTTATTCCCCAGACCAAGCAGGAGAAGGGTCAGAGCATCCAGCCACAGCAGAGCGAGTCTGATGTCCCCTAGCAGTGGGCCTTTGGCCTCATGGGGCTCACAAGTGCCTTCATTGCTGTAGGAGGGAAGAGGAAATTTGCTCTGCTCAGGCTCACAGTGGTTCCTCTCTCCCTGAGGGGCCTCTGGGTCCCTGGGAAAGAGCACAGGGGCTGGCAACAGGGCTGCCTGCTGCTCGAAAGGGTGGCAAAACCGCAGTGAAGGAAGGGTGTGGAAACAGATAACATGCAACTAACCCATGTGTGGTGTGGCTCAGACATGGTCCATAGAGATCCTGCCTTCAACAACTACAGCAGCATCCTCAACGAGTAAAAGCACTCAAAACCTTCCTTAGAGAGCCACCAATTTCCATACTCATATGCTCTCCTGAAGGATGCTTCAGTGCTCCTGCTAGTTTTGCAAGATGTATGATTAAGAAAACATTTTTTTAAAGTGATGGTTCTTGTACATCTGTAAAGATGGCTGTATCTCTTCCCCAGCATGCACTGTATATAACACGTGTTGTGCTTCTCCCCAAAATACCTACAATGCTCCCTTGAAAAGCAGCAACTCCAACCCTCTTTTGGCGCACCAAGAGAAGGTACCTGGAATGGCCAGCGGTTATCAGCCCTGCCAGGGGACTTTTCAGTCGGTGTTGGTGCCGTGCTAGGCCAAAGTCCTCCCAGACAGGCCTTGCAGCACAATGGATGGTGAGGAGAGAAGGCCTGTGAGGAGCTCGGAGGTGGCCACTGCAGGTTTTGAGTGACTTAAATCAGGAGGCCATGCAGTGGCAGCAGAGTTTAAGAAAAATCACTGCTCTAGAGCCAGCCTTGAACTCTCCAGATTCTCTGCCTTTACCCTGGGCACCTCTTTTAGACCTTTGGCAGCATCTCTGCACCCTCTCTGCACCAGCAAGATTAGCCTGCTGATGGAAAGGGCCTTCCACAGAGATATGCTGGACTCCCTTAAACATGTGTTGCTGTGTCCTCCTGTGCCCTAGGAGAGTCACAGCTCTTGCGCCAACCCCCAGCCCTTCCCCAGCTCTTTCCAGTGCTGCGCCCTAGCTGAGCAGCACCCTGGATTGAAGCTGGCAGGAGAAGGCAAGGCCTTTGCCAGCACAGAGGGGAAGCACCCATGGGTGCCATGCAGCCACGGTGCTGCTGGTCGTGGGGTGGGAGAAGGGCAAGATGCAAGAACACAGACTGAGAGTCTGACATCCATTGACCTTGCAGCTTCACTACAGCATTTTGCAAAAGGAGTTGGAAAGGATGGAGGTAGCGTGAGCAGAACGTGCCTCTCGGAGGGATACGGAGAGAGGTCGAGCTGAGGAAAGCTGTAAGGACTTCTTGGAACCTGCAAGCTCAGAAAAGCCCCAACAAGAAGAGATGAGCAATGGAGCAGCCAAAGCCCCAACCTGAGGGAAGGGGATAGGGGCAACACTGTCTGAGAAGAGGAAGAGCTGGAGATCTTGAGTAAACAGAATAGGGGAGTGGATTTGAATAGCTCAGCAGCAGTGAGCTGGTGTGGTGCCAAGTCTGTAAATCCGTTACCCAGGTCAGGTCACAAACACACCGCGCTACGCGCTCTTTACGCACTGATGGAGGGAAAAAGGAATCCAAGAGGCCAGGCAGCCTCCCGGGAGGCCCTGAGAGCACTGTGGATGGGCCTGCAGAGACCTCACGGAGATGGGGTCATGTAGGAACAGGGGGACAGCTAACGGCTTTCTTCCTGACATGGGGATCCCACAGCACAGGTCACTTAAACCCCAATCAGGAGGAGAAAGCCAAAGTGATGCTGTGAGACCATCACCGTGCTACATACAAACAGAGGTTTACTACCTTGCCCAGATGGGCAGCAATAAGAGCCCAGATGTGAGTGTCATCTACCACAAATCCACAAAAATCCCCCAAATTGGCTTGTTTCCCCTTGTGAAAGCCACAAACTTCATCGGATATCACCAGGTATCAATCAGCTCCTGCTACAATCAACCCAAAGAGCCGAGAACTCTCTTGTGCCCCAAAGAAGAGGCCTCATTCCTGCACTCTTATTTCAGCCCCTAGTTAAAGGCAGCTTCAAAGAAGCCCTGACTTTGGTGAGTAGGGCTCAGTATGATCCCAAAGACACGGCCCTTTCAGGGCTCTTAAAATAAGCACCTAATTTTTAGTTATTAATTCCTATTAGCTGGTGGGATTTAGGAAGTAGAAAATATTGGTGAAAAATTCAACTTTTCTGCTAAGCGTAAGGGTTCCTCTCTTCCATCTTATCAAACAACTCTGCTTATGAAACATCCTTAGGCGCTTAAATAGAAAATCTTTGCTTGAACGGTTTCAATATTTATTTTGCTTGGAAACTTACATTTATTGCTGAGTTAATCTGAGTTATTTCCCGATTCTTTCTCCCACCTTGAACCCTCACCACCCCAGGCGCAGAGCAGAGGCAGCACGAACATGCAGACTAAGGGTCCCGTGTGACCAGAGACAAAAGTGAAGGCCAGGGGGAAAAGCACTTCGAAACCACACCCAAGCATATTATTTACATCTGCAGCGATTACGGCATTTTATCTCCCAAGATCTGATCTTTTTAAGTTTATATAACCTACCACGATTAGCAGGGCACATCCTTCTCCGTCGCTGACATGCACGCATGCAGCAGGGAAAGCAGCGACCAGTAAATGCAAAGAGGTGATGTGAGGTTATAGCAGGAAGGAAAAATCCTTCCTGCCTCAACTCTGAGCTTTGTTTTGCTAACCAGTCTATATAATCAAGGCAGAAACTCAGCTACAGGCTTCTCTCAGTCTGGGCAACCACAGGAAAACACTATCAGTAGATCAGAAACCACAGCAAGGCTCCTGGTTTCACCTCATTTCAAGCATAGCAGCTGCAACAACATCCCCAAGCATCCCGTCTCGCCTCACAGAGCCTCAGAGGTTTTCCAGGCCAGGATGACGGTCTAACGCTAGCATGAGACGTGCAAGCACTGAAACAACCTGTGCGTGCCCAGAAGATGAAACAAAGCCCTGTTGTTGCTGCTTCCCCTGCGCTACCTCTCCGCTCCTGTTCAAGTTATTAAAGGTGCACATAAACGCAGGCTCCCTTTGTCCCGTCTGCCCTGTGGAAGGGCAGCAAAACCCTCTGATCACCCTCTGGTCTTCCCAGCATCTTTTTTCAAGCACATGCAATCATACTGTCCATGTGTTCTGTTTTCTCCTAATAACTTTGGACTCCATTAGCCAATTTCACCCAAATTCGAAGAAAGAACTATGTCTTAAAATAGCCAGTTCTTGAAAATTTCACCAAAATCAGCTGGGCAGAGGAGAGATGTCTTGTCAGCACCCACCCTGAGGAAAAGGCACCACGATCAGCTCAGCCGGCATCAGACATCAGAGAACTGCCATCTCCTCCGCACTGTAGCCGTCTGGATTAAGCAGAACATGTCATGGGAAACAGGTACCTCCTAGGCAGGATGAACCCAGGGATTAAGAAGCTTGTACTTGGCTTCTCCTTGGTGCTGAGTATTTGAGAAAACTGAAAGATGAGCAGTCAGAATTTGTCCCTCTTGCCAAACCAGTGACGCTGGAAGCATCTAGGCCAGGGCAGGGACTGCCCTCCTCAGCTGGCCTGAGAGGGGCCACGGCCAGTCCCCCGGGCCACTGTCCTCAGCTGCAGTGAAAGCACTGATGCCTGTGCGTGCCACATTAAAACACTGACATTACTGTGATACAAAGTCACCAATCATCCCTTTACAGACGTAAACCTACGGCACAATTTGGGAGCCTTATGCAGAGACATCTCACAGAGAATCCATCCTCAGAAGAGAAAATTTAGCCAAAAACAATCCTCCAAAAGCATGTTCAGCCCTTCAAGCAATACAAGTCTTTCTGAAAAGCATTTCAGGCAACTTTCTCCAATTTAAATGATTAAATATCTTAGAACATATTTAACTTTCCTCCTTAACAGGTCCTGTACCATAGTGCCACACTTCTCTAACAATAATTATATAAGATATTTGACTTCTAATTAACATTGCAGCTTACTGTTTTATTGATCACCAGCTCCAATGCCCAGAGCAATGCTATTTTAAAATCCACCCAACTATTTAACCCTAGTCAAGGGTGCCATGCAATATATCTATTTGTAAGCAGTTACTTTAGCAAATAGGCACTCATACTTGTTTTGCTACAGCCAATACAGGTGCAACAGTATCTGCTTCTGAATTTATTATATTCAGACCACAAGGTAACACAGGGACAAAGGAGAATAAGTGTCCGTTTTACCCACTAGTCTCTGCGGAGCACTTGGAAGACATTAAGGAGCGCAAATTGTCCGCAAAAATCACCCCTGTGCAAGAAAAGGGTTAAGTATACAAACTCCTTCAGCAGCCCTCAAAACATTGGAGGCAATAAGGAATCTCACGTCACAATGATGAATGAATCGTACTGAGTTAACTCCGCAAGAGTTACTTTTGCTGTCTTAATAATGACCGAATAGAGCTGACAAGTCCCTGCTACCAAAATGAAAGGCTTAGCTTAAGGCAAGAATCTGCGCATTTGGGCGAAAACAATGTCACTGAGTTAAAATATTTCTTCCTCTATCATAACCTCAGCTCCCACCACCAGCTGGGTTCAGTGGCGACAGCGTCCCAGTTGCATACCTGGTCCCGTACATATTTCCAGAGAACTCCGCATGCTCAATGAATTCACCAGCATCAATTTCTTTCTGCATGTCCTCTCTGCTCACAAAGTGGTAATCTGTATATGGCAAATAGGAAAAATACCCAGAAATCAACAGCCTTGAAGGTAAAGTGCATGACCAAGATGGGAGCAGCACCTAACAACCTGCCCCGGACAAGCTTGGCAGACTGCAGATGCCTACCTTCTAAATAGCATGCACAGCATCCCCTCTACGCCCCAGGTGCCCAGAAACCTGCTCAAAGTATTTGGGAACCCCTCTGCGTCTTTCCATGTGGCCAGATATGGTGCTGTGCCCCCTTTTTCATACCCTTTGCCCTTTCTGGTGCACTGGGAACATTCTCAAACTTGGACTACATTACAGTGAAACCTTTTACTTGAAAGCAGTTATGATTAAGGCTAGAGAGAGGGGGAGACAAAAGGGAATATGAAAACAAATGAACAAAAAAGAAACGTTTATCTATCTTTTGTTCAAATTTCTTCCACTCACTCTGTAGTGAAAATTGCCTTCGGAAATTAAGTGCCAACCTCATTTGTTTCTTTACGAAACATGCAAACTGACCAGAATAAAGAGAAGTGGCAAGTCAGCTACACACAAGCTATTAAGACGGATAAAGGCATCTTATTAAGCAGCTGCATTTCCCAAAGAACCATATATTTGGTGTATCTAATCAGAGCTACGTGACACTCAAGAAAACCAAGCCACTCAAAGCCCAGCTATGGACGGGGGAGCTTAAATTGAGAACCCCACTTTGAAAACCCTGGTCAGTGTGTCACAGAGAAGGTATCTAAAAAAGAAAACTAGAACCACGTGCTCTGCTCCTGCTAATGTTTCATTACTTGACTAAATTCTGGTTCTGTTCTGCCAGATCCATCCCTCTTCATATCTTCTCTCTATTGCGTAGCACCCACTGCAGAACAGCAGTAAGCAGTTACGGTCTCATGGCCATTGAGATCCAGAACAAAGGTGCATATATATAAAATTCAAAATATATCATTACGGAATGCCTGTGCATCCTGCCTGAAGGAAATGCCCTCTACAAATATCAATGTAGGACTAGCTTCTCTCTAAATGGGTATTCATGCAGCACTCTCATAAAAACTTAAATTTTCAGAGCAATTGTTTGCTGTTGAGTCTGATGAGAGGGGCCCAATTGCAACACACTGACCTTTGCCGTTTACTTCTCCGGGTCTTGGCTTCCTTGTGGTATCTGTAAGCAAAAGACGGCGTTGTCAATTTTGTAGATCAACCAAGGAAAGAATAGCATCAAAGAAATAAAAAACACAAGCAGATCAACCCAATCACATAGAAGGCTGATCCTCTTTTACACGATCAAAGCTTCTGGAATCAACTAGTGCAAAACACAACAGCAAGCATGATTCACACCTCTGATTCCTAGATAATCTGAAAACAATTACTTGAGACTGTTAGAGTCTGAGCAGCCAGTTTGGGACCTAACAGGCCAGGCTTAGTTTTCTGCTCCACTACAGACTTTCCTGTATTATGCTAGACACATTATTCAGATCTCCATCTTAGTTCAGGGGAATTAGCAGTGCCCTACTTTAATAAGTTATCTTCATTTTATAAGATCGCACAGCGCCTACACAGGTGCTTAAAATAGCCAGATTTAATGAATAAGGGCAAACTCCTGGGTGAAGTAGCTGAATAAATCAGACATCCCAGGAAGCCTGTTGGAAGTCATTCCAACTTGCATTATTTTAGGCATATGACCTACAAATCAAACAAGATCTAATGGCCAGCACAGACGGCAACACTCATTGTTTTCTTTAGGATTGGTGGGAATTAACCTAACGCAATAAGGCTCTGATCACCTCTTAGTTTTTATAAAGCACTAACTGGCAAGGTCCAAGTGGTCTACGGAGATTTAGGAAAAAAATATATACCAAAAAAGTAGCCTTGTGGAAAAAAGGATTTTGTTTGGGGCGAACCCTTTAGTAAGAGATTCAGTTGAATTAAAAGCACTGGGTGAAACATGAAAAAGGAAAGACATTTTTAAGGCTTTTTAGTCTCCAGTAACATTAAATTTTTCCACATTTCAGTATCTGTTTTCTCATAGTGGAGTGAATCTGGACTTGACGGGTCTCAATGCAAGGATTTCACTTGCAGTATCCAAAGCATTAGGACAGTAAAAATTTTGATAAAATACTTAAAAACACCTTCCAGAGCCCCAGGGAAAAAAATCAGGTGAATAAGCTGAGAATGAAGCCCACACTCTGACGGTTACCTTCAAGCTGCCAGCCAAGGCAAAGGAAACAAATTAGTTTTGCAACAGGACTGCTGCTCCAGAAGTTTTCTACACTTACTACTGAGAACACAGTTTGCACAGTAACACTGGTGACCCTGATGTGTCTTTAACAGCTCACCACCTCTTTAAAAACATCACAGAGAGCTTCACGCTATTTTTAAAAAGTCCTGCTAATGAAAATGAGCTGCCTGGCAGTGACGAGCACGCAATCCGTACTAGAAACTGGGCAGCTGGGGTGGTCGTACAAATCCCTCCACCTGCGCTTCAAGTCCCCTACGCAGATGCCCCTCTCCCACGACCTGCCAGGGATGGAGGACCTGCCCTTGCCCACCAGGCTGAATCTGCCTCACTGGGCAAAGGCAGCAGGTGTGAGCGGATCAAGTCAGCCAGATAGGAGTCATTTTCATATTACAGGAAAATTTCTCTGGTAGAATAAAAAGGCCCTTGGCCAGCACTGAGTGATCACAGTAAAAAGTAAAGACAACACATCAGTAGAGCAGTGGCAGCACAAGGATGTAAGTTGGTGACGGGACAAATTATTTCGCTCATTGACGTGACAACCAGATGGGTCTCACAAAACTTGCATTTTATATCAGAGACCATGCTAACCAGAGCCCAAGCTACCCTGCTAACAAAAATCCTCATCAGCACCCACAAGCGGATGGAAAGACTTGGCTTTTGAAGCCAAGTCTTCTCTGGGATTTGGTTACTTTCCAAGTCAGAAATTACTCGGAAAAATCTCATCACCATTTTGAGCTGTGTTCAAAGAGGTGACGAGTGACCAGACTTGGAAAGGTGCCATTCCAGGCAAATCCTGGAGTTGCCTCTTGATACCGGTATTAAAAGAAGGCCTGACTTCTTTGAACATCCTGAAGAGCTCACAGACAGACTAGGATACAGGTAAGCCACAGAAGCGGATTATCTGGGGCACAAATACCACTAACAAATCAGGTTTTAGGCTACCAGACCCAACCTCCTCTGCTCCCCTTCGCCTGTGACACTCAGATACTCACGGGAGACACTGAAGCCGAAGACGTTCTCATAATCTTTAAACAATTTTTTCAACAAAGTGCTCTTTCCTGCGCCTGATGGGCCACTCAGAACCACTGGCCTCGGCCCCTGCATGGCTAGAGAGACAGGAAAAACACATGTCTGTTTAGAAAGACGTACAGCCCATGACAAAATAGAGCTATAGACTTCCAGGGGTGTCTTGGCCCACAAAAGTACCTACCCTTTACCTTCAGATACAAGTTTCTGCAGGCAAATCAGAGCTCATGAAAATTCACAAGTTCGTTAGAGCTTCTCATTCATGGGAAGTAACTGAGGAGTGCAGTATTCAAAGAGCTATTAAATTAGCAAACTCGCTGCAGAGAGTGGAAGCTGCCACCTCTGTACTGCTGAGAAAGAGCTGGGCTAAGAGCCCGGAGGAGTCAGAGCTCGTTTTGGAAAGCAGATACCAGAGGCCACGAGCAACACAGCAGGACAGCTTCACCCTGCTTTGTTCCTAGCCCCAGTTCTTACCTGGGGGACCCATCCTTGGGAAAGGCAAGCTCTGCATCTAGGTCCCACAGCCATTCACAGCTCCACCACCATGAGCTTTCGTTCGTACAATTAAAGGACAAGTATCACCGCAGCACGAACACTTGTCCTCGAGGGACTTAAGTTAAACTCACATCACATAAACCAAAGAAAGAGGAAACTGGACTCTAGTTGCCACTGAGCTGAAGAATTCAAGCCAGCTTCCTACTAACTCTACTCTCTATTAGTAGGGTTTAATCCCTCCCGGATCCAAATCCTAGGAAAAGCTTTCACTAATGGAAGAAGGATGCTACCTGCGTCTGGCAGCACCTGGAAACATCACATCTTATCTCTTACATGCGTTGGGCAATTCTGGCTTAATACTTGCCCTTACTGACAGGGACTTCTCAAAGTCCTGCAATGCGCATTTTCGGGCAGCAGAGGGGTAACGCATTCTGCTTGCTAGCGGTTTGCTCTTGTCTATTTTTTGCATCAACGCGACTGGTGCAGCCACTTCCCTCTGCAAGGGGCAGGCCTCGAGATGCGCTCACTGGGTCTGCTGGCAAGGAAACAGGAAGGAAATTGGTTGGTCTTAGACACGCGATTCCACGTGAGGGATGGGTTGCCCAAGAGATCACCAACGGGCTGCAGACCTCTTAAGTTGCCAACTTACATCCTAACAGGTGCAAACTACTAACGTACGACAAACAGTTAAGAGGTTTTGGTTCAGTCCTCCTGAGATAAATAGCCAAAGGCAAATCCCTTCCCGTAGTGGATAATACACAGACCAACAGAAGCCCACCCACCATCTCCTTCACCACTAACTGTGCACGCAACATAGCGATGAGGGAGGACACTGCTGGGCTCCAGGCTTTGCAAGCCAGACCTGTTGTACAGTTACACTCAACTTAATCCTACAGTTTCCAGTCTTCCAACTCGCATACTCCGAAGAGGCTCACAGAAGATCTCACTGTTGTCTATCAAAGGGAAAAGGACTGTTTTAGATGTATAGCACAAGGGAAATAAACCTTGAAGCCTTGCAAACAACAGCCTGAACACGAGTGTGACTTGGGAAACAAATACCAGCTGGCCACAGGCACACTTCACAACGCTCACTCCTGTATGAGGCCTCTTGTTGTTGCAAACAAGAAGGGTCTTAATACCAGAAAGGCAGCCTCAGGCCACATAGACCCTTCTGCAGTTGTTTCTTCACCCAGAAAGAAAGGAATGGGTATTTTCCTGTGCTTGCCTCTCTGAGGAGGGAGGAAGGTTAATGATTAACATGTGAATAAAGAAGAAGATCCCATACTTCAGTGCAGAGAACATGGTGGGGGTCAGTCACCCATCAACAATTCAGCAGCTTTTAAAGCAGAGATGACACAAATCAAACAGGTTTAGCTTCCTACTAAAAAAAAATAAAAAAAAATCTTTCTGCAAGCAGTGAAGCTCCTTGATATGCATTATTTTAACCTCAAGCTGGGTCTTGACTCAGGAGCATTCAGAAGACAGATGGTATAATGCCTTCCCATTTTAAATTAGATCATACCAATGTGACCCTGACCTTGCCAACCACTTTTTAAACAGCCTTAAGCCATCTGCAGTCTCTTACAAAATCAGTGGCAACTATGGGTCACACGGCAGGCTAATCCAGCCACGCCGTCTACCTGACCTCAGCCTGCGTGAGCTGGATACTTCCTTATCCCTAAATCCCTTCTGTGCAGCTCCGCGGTCTCGCAGACACCTGTGAGGCAACACTAAAGCTAGCAAATTACCTGCGTTTTCCCTCCATTCCCTACAGATGCTTTATATTTGTCTGACCAGAACTTATTCAAGCATGTCCTAAAAAAGAAGATATTAATATAGGAAGTCTCATCTGTGCAGATTCCAGCAGCAGCTAACGTATATCGGTATTAAAAACTCCCAAGTTCAACCACTACCCAAAAGGGGAGCTTTCTTTTCTTGCCATTGGTGTCCTCCAAGTGCTGCAGCTCCAGAGAGACCCACTGGACCATCCGTTCTCCAGGGACCTCAGAGGACTGGTCCCATCACATGTGTATTTCCATGTTGCTGGATCCAGCTCCATCATTTGAGAAATGTATCAAGGTTGAAAAAACCTCCAGGGAGCCCTTTTGGGTAGGGACCCGTGCTATCCTTCCCTTCGCTCTTGACCTTTGATAATTTCCAAATATCACAAGTTTTGCCTAAACATTCAATACATAAACATGCTCCTGCACCTCCCCACCAGGGAGCTGCTATTTAATGCTTGCAGCAGGCAGGCAAAAGGGCCCTTGCTCACCTCATCCAAGGCATCTCTCTCTTCTGCCGTAAAATAAAATGGGAGAGCGTTGGCGAACCTTAACCATTGCTTGCAAAACACTCCAGAAAAGAGGAGCTACCCAAACTTTATCGTCACCCAGTCACTCCAGCACACCACCAGATTCCCAGCACAATTCCCCCCTCGGCACCAAGCACCAACCAGCTGCTGAACGGTGCGCACATATCATATCCAATATTACATGCTGTCCTCCTAAGCCATTGAAAGCCTCCACATGTGACATGCAAGCACCAACAAAGATCCTCTGCCTGGGCATTTAAAAGCTCCCTCTCCATCACCATCTGACTGCACTGCCAACAACTCCTCAGGATGCACACGTCCTGGTCCCTGCCTGCAGACCCCAGCCAGGACGAGTGCATCGCTGCTAGCGGAAAGAGTTTTCCTCTCTTTCCTTCCCCCAAATTTCTTCTTTAGCAAGCAACTGATAGGAAAAGGGGAATTCAAATCAGATGAAATCAGTTATGATCACATCACTCAACCCAAGGCAAATCGGGAAGGAACAAGAGGAACGGGCAGGGGTACCCAAAGAGTGCTGGCTGGGAGCAGCAGACTCTAATGAATTCTTACCTTTTGCTTTTATACCTTTCCAACCAAGGTATAAAGTCCAGTGCTTTGTAGCAGCGACAGGCTCATAATACGAGCGAGCAGCCAGAAAGCTGGGCTATTTATGAGCCACATAAAGCCTTAATTACGGAGTCCCCATTTTAAGATAGCCAATGAAAACCGTCTGCTGACCTTTAATCTTCTCCTGGGGTTTCTTCTCCACTCCCTGCTCTTCTGACTGGTAAAGCTGCAAACACCATTAGCACGCTGGTGAATGCCAGTGTGAGCCACCCAACACAGATGCTGGCTTCAGGAAACAGAACAGAAAAGTCTGTCTCTGCGCAACTAATCTCATGTATCTCACATCCCCCTGCTTCCCAACGACACAAAGATGCACTCAGCAGCGTAAACGCATGGGAGCAGAGGAAGAACTGTTGTTATGCACAGATCAGAGGGAGGTGAGCTACCTCCTCAGGTGAAACCAGACGATAATTCAGGCTGGAAGGGACTTCAGGAGATCTCTAGTTCAACCTCCTGCTCAACTGTAGCATGTCTTTATCAAGTGATGGTGCCCACCTATTCACAGACTTCAAGAATGGATGGGGCTCTTCGACCACATTGATGCACATTAGGTATAAAACCCAAGCCAGGTAGCCAGTATACTCACATTACACCCAACATTGGTGTTTGCTTAAGACAACTCTTCTGGAGAGACACTCACTCTTGTTTTTAGCCACCTTCTCTAAAAAGTGTCCTTTTGGACTTGAGTTTGCATGGCTCTTGCCTCCAGCTTCACATCAGGTCAAAGATTAAGACTCTT